CCGTTGGTCGCGTCAAGGGTGGCTGCCGTGGCTTAGGGGGGAGCGGAGCGATCTAGTGCGGAGGAGACGGGAGCCGTCTGTGCCGCTGAGGGTAAGCGACGAAGTTGCAGGGGTTCTCCTTGAGAGTCGGTTGCATGAAATGGAAAGCAAAACAAACATAAACCACATGTGAGGGTGAGGGCTCCAAATAAAAAACACGTTCAGACTCCGCAGAAGCGGAGCGCGGCCGGGGTTTGCTCTCCACTGTACGCGTGAGCTGCTGGAAGCCTGTGCTGCGCGGGCTTGTGTTCCCCGCCACCTCCGAGCAGTATTTTTGATCAGTTGTTTGGTTTCGTGGGAAATAAGTTGCTATACAGTGGTCCCTTTTTTTTTCCTGGCATCTGAGCCAACTTAGACTAAGAGAAATCAGAGAGACTTAGTAAAAACGAGGTGACAGATTTACATCTAACCGTTCAGGAAGAATGGAGTTTTCCAGAGGCTGCAAACTAGTATTTGCCTGATAATTAGGTTACCTTAGGCATGCGTTTAAAGTGAAACTTTGTTTCCCCAGTAAATAAAAGCATCCATAGTAATTTGCAGTGGGATTAGCTAATAGGCCCAATACTGCAGCCTTTCCAAAGCCAAAACTCTCCTGACAACGAAATGCTGTAAGATGTGGTTTATAATTTCCACAGAAATTCTGGCTGTATTTTTTTAAAACACATCAGAATGTATGGACAAGATGCAAAAGTATGCAGAGAAAATCTTTACTCACAATGGATACAGTTACATCCCAAAAGATACAAGTGGACAACCGTCAGGAATAAGGAAAAAAGACATGGCACGTGCATTTGCTCGTTTTAAAACTGTGAATTGCTGTAACTGTTTTCAGTGTGCTGAAGTTAGGTTCGTCCCTTTAGACCAAATTCTGCTTCTCTTATTCACATGTATGGTCTTACCAAAAAGACAAAAGACCTGCTCTTGTCAGGAAGGTGAGCAGAATTTGGCCTTTTCAACACAAGCTGCAGGGGGTAAAGAGACTCTAAGAAGCCAATGGAGAACGACTTTAATATGTTTGACTTTATCACCAGCCAAAAAGAAAGGAACATTGCAAATAAGTCTCCACGTAGGAATACAAGGCAAGCTAAAGTCAATGTGGAGCTGCAACAAATTTCTTTAGCTCATTTTGTGTTTTCTTTTTATCGTTTCAATAGTTAAAGTAAAAATACAGGGGGAAGTTCTCTATGTTTAACTTTGGGGAAAGTGCACTATAAAATAGAGCCCCTACTGGTGTTCATTAGTTTTAACAAAGAGTCTGGTCATAGGTTAATACTGGTAGATGGTATTGCAGCCCACCACATGCTAACTGTCATCACTGTGAAACTAGCACAGGGAAGTCTGTGTCTGAAAGAATAAGAATTAAAAGAGAAAAACAATGCTTTCGTACTGCAATTATTTTGCAGAGAGAATAATGTTGTATCCACATGTACTGTACAAAAGACTTCTTAATCACAAAGCCACCAAAACTCTTTGCGAAATAGTTTTTATTTTGCAGAACATAGTGCGCGGGGGCTAGTGTTAACCGTGCCTTTGCGAAATTGGAAGAAACAGTATCTTCAAACTCAGTATAGAGCAAAATGAAGCATTTAGTTTTCTCCAGTAGATTCTTAAAACTGCGCTTCCTGTCTGAAAGGTCTAAGCCTTTTGGCATTCTAAGGGACTCGTGCAGAATCACAGATGCATTAAGTACAGAAGGTGTTGATTTGTAAATCGTAATAATCATCCAGGCCGTCTTACTGACATGAGAAAAAAATTACAGAAAATGAGATAAAGAATGTGTCCTCATCAGTCCTTCCAGATTGAGATAAATCAGCCTAATTTTGTTGAAATCAGTAGAGATTTGGCAATTTCCTCTCCTTTAGTCCTCCCTGATACTAAATTTACAGAATTGTGCCATCGGTCCCTTAGGGGCTGACAGGGCAAGGGCTCGCTCAGCCCTCACCGCAGGCTGACTGCTCGTTTCTTCAGCATGCCTAGATCGTCCATGATAGTGTCCCAGTCACTGGTGACATACCATAGACATATGTCAAGCCGTCTTTTGAAGACACAGCTATTGTTCTTCAACTGCCACACCCTTCACCACTATGGTTTTATTTAAATCTGTGCTTCAATTACTCTTACCTTATGTGAGCAAGGGCAGCATTCCCCCCTCCCCCCCAATCATGGTGAATCTGTTTCAGTGACTTAATTTTGGGAATTAAGATAAGTATGTACAAATCATGCTGTTGGATTTAAAATGTCGACTTCTAGCAACACGGACACCACCATCAGTCAGCAACTTTCCTTGGTTTATTTTTTCTCTTTACTTGATCATCTAACTGTAAAAGCTATGAAGTTTATACACACAGAAGTGATTTAAAATTACCTCAGCTTTACAAAACATACATGATTGCCTCAAGTAATTGTTACCAAAAAAACCCAAACCCTTAATGTTCTTCACAGGGAAGTAGTTGTTAATTATTTGTATGTATGCTTTATATCTATCTGATTGATGATATCATTGATTTTTTTAAATCTTTAAGTACATTTGTTTCAAATATTTACAACTTAACAAAACATGCTAGATGAATGGAAAAAAATCTGTTCTGTTTTGAATGGTGCTCACTACCTTAAGGCCACATATCGTATGACTGCTGAGATTAGAAACAGAGACTCACATCTTCCTGCTCCTAGGGTGCTTTGCAAATGTTATCTCAGTATAAATAAACTTCTTTAAAATCAGATTGAACGAAATTTTTTTTTTAGCTTCAAGATATGTGTGAACCAATGCAAATTTTCTCCACTTAACATGAATAAAATGAGGTTTTTTCCATTTTAGAAAATGTTGTGTTCCCTATCCCTTGAACTGAACGGTGAATTTCCACTGCCTGTTAGCTCACAGACTCTGAATGTTTAGTCTGTAACTCTATACTGTTATTTACTTGCTTAAAATGAGGGATTTATTTAAAGTGTATGCATTTAAGACTACTTCAAACAACTTCTCTTTAGCAGATCTTTCTTCAGAGCAAATTTCACAGTTACGTCTAAACTCAGTAGTACAATCAGATGATCTGTGGAGTAAGATGTGTGTCGAACAATTGTGAGCTTAATACCTCTACTAGTTTGAAGTGCAAAAACTTTAGAAGTGCAAAGCTAAGCTCGTAGCAGCTCAATGCGATTATACTATGCCACCAATTCTTATCATCCTATTGACTTTAGGTAATTCAGTGAAATTTATTGCCACACCATAGTTGTTACCTTGTGAGTTACTTCACAAAGTCATATTGTGAAA